GCAGAAGTTTAATATATGCCTATCTAAGGGATCCTATTTGTAAGCTTAATTATGCAGAATATAAAAAAATCAACAAATGGGGATCAAGCTTGAAAACCATCAAGCCACCAGATTTCAAATTAATGGTCAAAATGGTCAAAGTATCCATTTTTTTTTTCACAAAGAACATCATAAAAATTGTATTAATCACTGATTTTTAAATGTTCAAGGCTGATGATGTTGATGGAGCACTTGCCTTTCCCTTTAACATCTTAGAAAACTAATAAAGCTGTAGAATGTGGCAATCATACCAAGTGATTTATATGGCAGAGCCCAGGTATTAACTTGGTTTACTGACTGGAGATGGTGCTTTCTTCTGCATCACGCTTCCTGTGTCTAGGAGCTTCATCCATAAAGTTTCCTTCTTTCTTAAAACTTCTAATAAAGTTGTGGGTTTTTTCTCTGTTTGTTTGTTTTGGTACCAAGCAAGATAGTAAACATAAATTTTCTTCAGGCTTTTGTGTTCGCAGGATCATTAGCTTCTTTAGTCCAAACTGCTGACTGAAGAAATAGGTCCAGAGAATAAGTCACTTGAGCAAGGTCACACCAAAAGTGAGAGAGGATTTATTTGAATTTAAGTCTTCAGTCTTCAAATTCAATACTACTTCACTACTGCCAATTATTTTTAGAATGATATGTTCATCACCATGCAATGCTGGACTTGAAAGGGCCATTTTGGTTCAAAGAGGTTAAGTGATTTGCCCAAGGTTGCAGAGACATCACCTTGCCGACAAAAGTCCACACAGCCAAAGCTGTGATTTTTCAAGTAATAATATATGGCTGTGACAGATGGACTTCAAGGAAAGCTGAGCAACACTAAACAGGCAATTTTGAAATGCGGTGCTGGAGAAGACTTGAAAGTCCTTTGGACAGTAAGATCAAATCAGTCAATACTTAAAGAAATTAATTCAGGCTATTGAGAAGATTAAAATTGATCCCCTGTCATTTTCTTATTGATGCTATTTACAAATAATTCATTTTGCCCTGTAATTGTTTAAGTCATGCTTTTTTTGTCTCTAAACTTAGTACAGCTGCCCTGTAATGGGTTAAGTTTAAAAATCCAGCTCTTCTGCCTCAAGGAATTTAACTGACTTTGGCAAATGTGTGAGAAAGCAAGGGAGTTTGGGCCTGATACCTTTATTCCACCAAGCTATCCTTCAGGGATGTCTGGTTTGCCGCCCCAAAGTCTGAACCACTATCTCGAACCTGCAATCAATGAGCACTTCTTAGTTTCATGAGAGAAGAGGGGGAGGGTGCTGTTGCTAGCCTCAATCACCAACCTTCCAACCAATCATGTTGCTCCCTGTGACTCAGTTCTGTAACCAGTCACAGTGCCCTTAATTTCATGATGTCACCTACCCTGCCCTGTTCTTGTTTCTGTACTCCCCCAAACCAAAGTAAGGGGAACTGTCCTCTTCTCAGGGTCTTTGGCATTAATGGGAGGTAAGCCATGGACCTATTTATTGACAGGTAGCATGCCCTTGCTAATAAATATTATCTTGCTTGAGATTTGTCTCAGTTTGCCCTTTTGTTAAAATCTCAATCCTGACACTATTCACTGTAAGGTCAAATACTAAAGCTGAAGTTTAAGTACTCTGGCCACATAATGAGAAGATGTGACTCACTGGAAAAGACCCTGACTTTTTGTTGGGAAAGATTGAAGGCAAAAGGAAAAGGGAATGGCAGAAGATGAGATGGGTAGATGGTGTCGTGGAAACAATGAATATGAACTTGGACAGACTTGGAGAGATAGTGGAGGATAGAAGGGCTGGGTGCGCTATGGTCCATGGAGTCACAAAGAGTTGGACACAACTGGATAACAGAGCTAGGAGTAGAAAGGATGCCTTTTCCTGTAGCAGGGTACTGCCCACTGCTTTCTAGGTGTTCTATTGACAACCATTTTTTCAAATTACTGTTCAGCCCTCTCAGCTCAGGCATTTCTGTATAATCTCAGAAACAAAATAAAGATAATGTTTAACAATAACAAAAATTTTATTTCCTTATCCTAATAATTGACTGTTGAGGTTAAAAAAATTCATTACTTTAAAAGTTGTGCTTGTGCTTTTTTTTGGATCCATGCAAAAGAAATTCAGTACTCTTAGCAATGCATGCTAAATTAGAAATATTTTTAGCAAGTTTTAGAAAACAAAGTATATTTCTAAGTGTTTTTAATATTTACAGAAATAATTATTAATGATCAGGGATTCTACATTAACTCTAGTACTGGCCTGGCCTGCTTGTTTAGAATTATATATCCGGAGCTGATGGGACCTCAAGGCAGATTAAGCCACCCTACTCATTTTACAGATGAAGAAACCTTGACCCTTACAGGCTAAGTGACTTGCCCAAGGTTACTTGGGCAGTAATTTTCAGAGGTAGTATTTTTTTTTCATATTAAACATTTTCACATTAGTGATATTGTAGGTAAGAATTAGAACCAATAGGAGAAACCACCAGAAAGAGGAAATAAAACACAACAGAAGAAAAAAAATAGCACATGGTATGCTTTGATCTGCATTCAAACTCCATAGTTCTTTTCTTTGGATGTGGATAGCATGTTACATCATGAGGCCTTTGGAGGTGTCTTAGATCCTTGTATTGCTGAGAAGGGTTAAGTCTATCAATATTAGTCATCCCACAACGTGACTCTTACTGTGTGCAATGTTCTCCTGGTTCTGCTCATTTCACTCAACATCAGACCATACAAGTCTGTCCAGGTTTTTCTGAAGTCAGCCTGTTCATCATTTCTTATAGCACAATAGTATTCCATTACATTCACATATCACAACTTGTTCAGCCATTCCCCAATTGATGGGCGTCCTCTCAAATTTCCAATTTTTTGCCACCACAAAAAGAGCTGGTATAAATATTTTTGTACATGTAGTTCCTGTTCTCATTTGTATGACCTCTCTGGGATACAGCCCTAAAAGTGCTATTGCTGGGTCAAAGGGTACGCACATTTTCATAACCCTTGATTATAGTTCCAAATTGCTCTCCAAAATGGTTGGATCGTTTCACAACTCCACCACCAATGCATTAGTGTTCCAGTTTTCCCACATCTTCTCCAACATTTATCATTTTTACTGTTTTGTGATGTTGGCCAATCTGATAGGTGTGATGCAGTACCTCAGAGGTAGTATTTGAACCCAAATCCTCTAACTCAAAAGCCAAAACCCATTACCCACTGCAAATTTAAAAGCCTATTTGCTAACCAAGTATGAGGAACTTTAGGTATTCAAAGTAACGGACAGGCTCTTTCACCTAGTTTTAGAAGGTTAAGCAATGCCATCCTTTCCTAGAATTTCATTAAAATTGACTTTTGATTTTCAAAGACTTCCTGGGGTTCTTGTAATTATAATAAGATATAACCACCACAATATGTTTGGATTCAAGCTATATCTAAGGACACAGTATTTTATTTTTTAAATTTGGTGGACAGCTGTCTCTAAATACTTGGGACAGATTTGAAGCAGGACCGGGTAAGGCATCAGCTTTATCTTTAGGCCCATAGTTCAGAATCCTTCATTTCATCTCTTCAAAGTATTCTGCGTTCCACCGGCTTCCCTGCCAGATAAATAATAGGCTTTCGGGAAGGTCGGGGGAGCGGGACTCCCGGGATCCAGCTCCCCGCCTCCGCACACTCCCACTCTAAGTGGCCACTTCTGAGCTTATCAGCCTCTCTGGGTAACAAGTTCATCGTCCTACTTCCACTCCTCGCTACGTTGGTCTCAAGTTCTGCCACTTCAGCTATTCAGTTTTTCTTTTTTTTTTTAAACCTTTTCTTTTGTACTGAGAATTTAACAATCATCAACAAACATTTCAATAAAGAAGACAAAGAGGACTGTATATAAAACCGTGAACTTACTGGTTTAAAAAAGCATTAAAAGTCAGGTTTGTGATAAAATTGCCATTCTTGTCCCTTTCAGAACTTTTTTTTCTCTTTTGGTGTAATTTTAAAATGTTATCTTGATGCACTTCTTTTCTTTTTTGCATTTTTATCATTTTCCACCAGACTCTCCTCCTCCGACTCACCCCACCCCCACCCCGCCATGGACGCCATCCCGTGTAACAGGTCACCCCAAAGGAAAAGATAGTCCACGTCTGAAAATAAACTCCTCTGCCCATGTGTCCTGCGCGCCGGCTCACGCTTCACGGCCGACCGACACCTTCCCAGCTGCTCCGCAAGGAGGAAACTCACAACCTCGTCACTTTCACCCTCCCCTCCCCCACTGCTCCCGAGCGGCCTCAGCCGGACGTGACGCCAGTCCCCTAGTTGATGGCGCTCAAGTTCCTTCCGGTCTCCACTGTACGCCTGGGCCTACCCCCCCCTCCACATCCCCCACCCCTCCCCCTTACCTTCTCACTTTCTTCTCCCTCTCTCACCTTCTCTCTCTCCACCTCTTCCCCCGCCTCTCTACCCTCACGCACGCCTCCACCTCGCTCTCCCCTCCCCGGACTTACCCCTACCTCCTCCATCACCTCCCCCCGCCTCCGCCCGGAAGGCTCCAGTCTCGGGAGCATCCGCGGCTGCGTCACCGCCGCCCCCCCCAGACAAGATGGACACCGCCGAGGAAGGTAACGCGCTGTCGCCTCCTCCCCGTCCGCCCCCGTGACACCCGCACCCTCGCTCCCCCCTCGTCTCCCCGCCCCCGGGCTGCGACAATCCCTCCCGGTCCCCGCCGTCCCCGGCTCTGTCGCCGCGGTTCCTTGGGCTCCCTCGGAGCAGGGAGCGGTGGGCGAGGGGTCGATTCCCTCCGCACCGGAGCAGGCGACCTGGTAGCCCCGGGGCCGCCGGAGGCGCCTCCCTGCTCTCGGCGGGCCCGGCAGCGTGGGGAGGGGCCCGCGGCTGCGGGGAGCTGCGCCCCTTCCCTGCGCTTACCGCGGGGGGCTGCTGCGTATGGGGGGGCGGGGGACAGCGGCTCCTTCCACTGGCAGGAGGGAGCAGGGCTGGGGCCACTCACCCGGAACAGCCGACGGTGGGTCAGCCCGTCTTGGGGCGAGGTGGCCGGACAGGACAACTGGACTGGAGGGGTGGGTGGGGGCAGCCGCGCCGAAGGTGATTCGCTTCTCTTGCTCCACCTTCCTCGGGAAGGGGGGGTGAGGGTGGGAGTGTGTGTGTGTGTCTGTGTGTGTTTGTTTGTTTTGGGGTAAAGGGTGAGGGTGGGAGTGTGTGTTTGTGTATTTTGGGGTGAAAGGTCTTTCCTGTAGGGCTTGTCCAGCCCACTTTCCCCTCTTTCTCCAGGTGCTCCTTTGCTTGCGGAGGTGGCCATTAGAAACCGGACCCCTCCTCTCTTCCCCCTCCTCTTCCCCCCCATCCACCCCTCCAGCCATTAGGAGCCCCAGAGCGCCCCGGCAAGGGACGAGGACTTCAGTTTGCAAAATGCATCCCTCACCTCGCAAATGAAGTGCTCGGGATTTCGTTGCGGGCCTCAGTGTGTGCGATTTCCTTTTTTTTTTTTTCTTTCTCTCTCTGGAAATTGGTCTGTTGCCTCTTAATCCCTTTGCCCTTGAAAAATGTCAATAAATTTCGTTGTTGACTTGGAAAGTTATGGAGGAAAACAAATAACGCCGCCTCTGTCACCGGAGTAGAGTGAACTGACCCAGATTAAAAAACCAAGTCTTTTGCCAGCTTGTGTTTCAGAGTTTGTTTATTAAATCGGAAAAGAAAGATTAAGAAAGTATAAAAGGTTATTGGTAGGAGAGTTCCAGTTTCAAACGTAAATGTATTTTCAGTGTAGTTTCATTCCTGTGTTGACCAGCTGTGGAGCTTGATGTATACGTGAAGGTATAGATGGTGATGTGCTTAAAGTTAATAACTTAATCATACGTAGTAAATTAAGTATGTGCTTCAAAAAATTTTTTTTCATCCCTTAGTAATGCATTTTAGGCTAAATAATATAAGAAATGACAAAGGCAGTTGTGAAAGGACTTATGGTATAAGTGGGAAGAGAGCCTTGAGCCAGAGTTATGGTCTTGGATCAAGGGGACCTTTATTCCACTGCTATTAATTGTGTACCATGTATACAAGTCACTTAACCAATTCAGTTTTCTCATCTCTTGGGTAGGGATTTAATTCTTGCTGTGCCTCATTCACTGGGTTATTGTAAAGAAAATGCTATATAAATATCATTAATGTATTTCCATGTTCTGAACTACTTCGGAGAACTGCTATAGCTTCCAATTTATCTAAACATTTTTGGATTTATGTATAATGCAATAAGTATTGTGCAGTTCAGTGGCATGTGATGAATTGGATAGTTTCAGGCTATTTAAACAAAGTTGGATATATGAACAGTCATAATTGTTATAATTAGGTTAAAATGAACAATTAAAGAAGTCTGAGTTTCTAGTTTTTAGTTTAGTAGATTTACTTGTATAGAATTCATTTCTGAAATTTTTTGAAGTGTTCTTATGTTATAATTTGTTCTTACTTCTTAAAGAGGACTATGACATCAGGGAGGTGATACCTCAACCTGCAAGTGAACTGGGTTTAAGTGAGGGAAGGCTGTGCAAAGTCATCAGCCTCACTTTTTCCTCCTGAGCCATCTCAGCCCAATGGCAAGATATAGATCAAGACTACAGGAGATGACCCTGAATGAAGTGGGAGGCCTTGGACTTTTTAAGCTAAGGTCTTAAAGAGGTCGAAGTTTGACTGAGGCAATGCCCATTCAGTGATTAAGACTAGGTAAGAAATGTGGCAGTGAATGGCCTCTTTCACCTAGTCAAAAAAAATACTAGTCTGGGAGGGGAAAATCCTTAAGGTTTCTGGCCAAAATTGAAACAGTTGCTATTTACATTCACTCTGAGCCAATCAGGGCCCAAACCATGACCAAATGGAGCTTGGCCTGGGACCTATTATTGGCCAGTCATTGAGAGCCAGAGTGATTTGAGTTTAAGGCATGGTCCTTAAGAAAAAAAATCTAGCCCATAAACCCCAAGATATCTTTCAAGGTTTCACAGATCATACTTATACATTAAATGGTTAAAACTGAAATGATTGTTCTCTGTGTTAGGTGATATTGATAAATTATTTCATTTTTGAGACGTCTTTATGTGAATAGTAGTGGACTGCCTCCCCCTTCTCCCAGTATCCTTAATATGTTTTTGAAATTCCATATTGCAGTAGAAGAAGATTCCTTTGGAAAACCTAGAAAAGGAGACCACTCAAAGTTCAGAACGGCCATCTTTTTGTCAGTAATATTTGAAATTCAGGTTGTCTCTGAAGGAGTTGTTTCTGAATTCAACTTCAAATGTGAAAATTCAGGAAGACTGAATTTTCTCTCTTATTCTGGCATATTGGGTGAATTTGAAATGCAGTAGTCTTTTAGCCAGAACTTTCTCAGTAGTACCTAAGATTCACACAATGTTAGTACTAGATTGGACCTTAGAGATCTTGTTCAGTTTCTCATTCTACAGATGAGGACATACAGGAGGTTCAAGAGAGGTGAAATAGACTGCCTAATGCCATGTCAAGGAAATGAAAGTTGTAAGAACTGGAACCCAGATATCTACTAATTCACAGTGGTGAGCCTTAAGCCCTGCAGCATTTTGAAGTCCTTTCTGGGGCAGTAAAGAACTATTACATTATTTTCAATATAATTTTTGGGTTAAAATATTTTATTGTTTTCTATTCCTTTGAGAATTTGCAGGCAGCGTGGCATGGTGGAAAAGAAGTCTGACCGAGAGTCAGGAGACTAGAACTTGGCAAAGATACTTCACTGGTCTGGACCTTGGTTTTCTCATCTGGAAAATAGGGGTGGTTCTAAATTATCTCTTAGGTTTAGTCAGGTACTAAGATTCTGTGATTCATGATAGTTCCTTTATTCATAATATTTTAATTAGCCAGAGCATCCTGTTCTTTGATTACACCAGTTAGCAGTTTTGTTATGCCCAGTTCCTATAATGTATCACATTAACATTTCTGTTTAGGCATTTAATTTTGGGGTAGTACATCAAAATATATTATTTCATCAGTATGAGTGAGTACTTTCATAGGTGAAGATAGAATTCTGTCTGTCCTAGACTCATGAAATCAGTTGTGACCAAAAAAAATGTCATTGCCTAGCAGTGGCCAGGCTTGAGGTTATGAGTCTCGATGAACTAGGCTGGTTTACTTTGATGTTTTTCCAGCTGGGTAGGAAAGGTCAGACACCCCTCCCCCCTTTTTTTTTTGTCTCAAAATCAGTAGACTTTTATTCTCTTCCATTTTTTCCCATTAGCAGAAAATCAGAGAAAGCAAAAACTTGTATGTTTGCAATGATAAATGCAACCTCATCCTTCAGAATAAAATATAACAACATCAAAATAGGGTGAAGAATGAATGGGATACTCATTCGCCACACCGTCCTCCTCAGGCAGGTCCCATCTTTCCTTGGCCATTCCTCCCTCCCAGGACTTTATTATGGCCTATTGGGGAATGACATACATCTAAAAGACAGAATGACCTTCTATCAACTGGGTCCCTTGGTGTGAAGTCAGACAGAATAACCCAGTCCCAAATGTCTGTTTTTTAGAAGGCATTTAGCCCAGGGCAACTGATTATAAAAATAATGGGCTTCATTTCAGGTACAACTTAAAACATTTTTATTAGTTTTTAATCAGTAAAAGAAACTAAGTAGACCTTATGTTTCAGTGACATAGCATGGATAGTAAATAGTTGAATTTCATTTGATAACTTTTAAACTTCTGGTGATGCCTTAGGACACTGAATCATAAAGTACCCCAATTTTTGGTGAATTGAAATTGCAGATTATGGAAAGGTCAGTGGAGAGACTCATAGTAGACGTAAATAAGCTGAAGTATTTTATATACCCCAAAATAATTGTGTACAAGAAGTACTATAAAAGATACAGTAATAATAATGATTGACATTTAATACTACGTTAAGGTTTGCAAAGCACTTTACATAAGTATTACCTCATTTGAGTCTCATTTGAGATGTTTCACAGATTTTAGTATCCACATTTTAGAGATGAGGAAACTTGGATTATGAAAAATGAAATGACTTGCTCACTTAGATAGGTACTAAGTATCAGAGGCAAAATTTGCACCTAGTGATTGCTGATTCTTTGAGTCTTGTACTCCTCTGCCAAGTCAGCCTGCCGCCGGGGGGGTGTGTGTGTGTGTGTGTGTGTGTGTGTGTGTGTGTGTGTGTGAGAATAACCAAAAAAGGAAGTGTATTGGTCACTAAGTGAGAATCAGGGATTGCATAATGTGGCCTTTAAAAAGATTTGAGTGTCATAAAGTTTAATCATTTTATTAATAATGCCAGTATTTTGATGAAAGGATGGTCATTTGGCTGTCTCTCCATTGCACCAAAAATAATCATGGAGGTCTCAGTTTTTATGCCCTTTTGGAAGAGGAGTGTTCAAAAGGATGCCATCAACTCTGATTGGTTAACAATTAATAATAGAAAGATATCATGTCACCCTTGGACAGAGAGACTCTCTCTATACCTAGAGCACCCCTAGCCTTGGGCAGTTTAGACAAAAGGATCTCTCCACCCAAACTTGATTAAATGGAATTCACCATAGACTAGAGCAGGGTGGGGAATCTGTGACCTTCTCAGTCCGTGGATGTGGCCTTTTGACTGAATCCAAGTTTTACTGAACTTGTTTTATTTTTATTAAGGGGATTTGTTCTGTGAAGTTTGGATTTAGTTGAAGGGCCATACTTGAGGACCTAGAGGGCCACATATGGCCTTGATGCCACAGGTTCCCTACCCCTGGACTAGAGATTTCTTGTAAGGTTGGGTGGGGTTGGATATAGCAGAGAGTTAGCTCAGCCTTCAGAGACTGAGGTCTTGAAATGAGGATAGAGAAAACGGGGAACTCTGAATCTTCCCAAATCATTTGTTAATAATCATTTCTTTCAATAATACAGATCACTAACCTGTATTGGTAAGATCTCTAGAGGAAGGACCCCAATACTGGACAAATGCAGGGACATGGATGGCAGTTGCTTATAATAAGATGTTGGTGGGTTACAAGTCATACCATAGAAGGAAGTTCCTCTGTCAGTGTATTTATCAAAGCTTTGGCATTCTGTGTGTAA